ACTTTTTATTAACTTTTAGTTTATTAATATAGCTTACTAAAGCTATAAATACGTAGTTATATAAGTTTATTAATAGTATTAAGTTAAATATTTAAGCTTTCTTTTATACTTTAATTACGCTAGCTATATATTTAGATTTTAGAAAAAAGTATCTATAGTATCTACTCTATATTATATTACTTAGATCTTTAGATTTAAGATTTTAACGTAGTAGAGTATTATTCTAGTACCTATCTAGTATATATTTAGAGTCTTCTATAGCTCTAAAAGATCTTTATAGTAATTTAGCTTAAATAGTAGATAAGCTTAGCTTAAAGAAGTTAGTCTTTCTTAACACGCCTCTTAAGCTCTTACTATATAGAGTAGAGTGTCTTAATAATACTAGAGTAATTAAGTAACCTCTTAGAGACTTATTATACTTCTTAGCTTATTATTACTTCTTCTAGATTTATATTTCTAGATTTTTTTCTACTAATTCTTTAGCTAGTATATATTACTCTAGTATTAACGTCTATTTATCTAAAGTTATATTAAATAGATATAATTAGCTTTATAGTAGTAGATCTTTAACCTCTACTATAAGTTCTTTATAAGAAATATTATATATCTTAATATTAATTATATTAACTACTAGAAACTTTCTATATTTACTACTATTATTCTTATATAGCTTATTACGTATAAATAAGATATCTTAAGTTTAAATAACCTTATTCTTTAAGAGTATCTAGATTCTAAAGATATTTAAGAAGTTCTATTCTAGTAGATACCTAATATAAGTACGTACTTCTAGTTTATTAGCTTTCTTAAAGTTCTTTCTATAAATATACGCTTAATAGCTAATAGAAACGTAATAAGCTACTAATAGTTTATAACTTATTACTATTTTATATAGAGTTTTCTAGCTATTTAATTTAATTAGTATAGTATTAAGAATTTAAATAGCTATAATAAATAGCTCTAAAGCTAGCTTTTTAGGTAATTTAGCTATAATTCTTATTACTTAGCTTTTTATAATTATTACGTCTCTAGCTTTCTCTATATAACTATTCTACTTAGGTATCTTAGATAAGCTAGGCTTATATTTAATACCTAATTTAATATAAATCTTAGTAAGCTTATTACTAAAACTCTTCTTATTATTAGTTCTAAGTATAATAACTAAGTACTTAAATTAACGCTATAGTTTAGTAATTATTCTATATATAGTAGGTATTAATACTACTCTACTTTTTATAGGTAATATATATTCTTTATACTAGCCTAAGAATTTATTAATTATATAGAGTCTCTACTTATTCTTATTAAAATAGGTTTCTTCTATTAGTAGTAGTTAAACTAAATCTATTCTTATTTAGTAGAAGAGACTCTTTATAGACGTTAATCTAGGTTTCTAGAAAACTTAATAATTTATTTTTAACTATATATAGGTATTATAGTTTTTCTAGTTAACTAGAAGTATATTCTTCTTAAGCTTAAAGCTAGTAATAGTCTCTTCTAGGTACGTAATAGCTTTCTTATTTAGGTATACCTATAGTTAATAGGCCTTAGCTTTAGTAGTAATTATTACTAGTTATAGATTCTTTAATAGTTAATATACTATTATAAATATAGTAAATATTTTCTATAGATTAGAGTAGCTATTTTTATCTACGTTAAGTAGCTAGTACCTCTATTTATACTCTAAGTTATAGACTATATTACTAGGCTTATTCTTATATAGAATATCTCTACTAGAGTTAAAGTAGATTCTAACGTCTTAAGAGCGCGTAAGCTCTATAATATTTATAAAGAAGCTCTCTACTAACGCTATATAGGTAAGGCGTATTAGAGTTAGTTCTAATAGAGTATTAGTCTAGAGAATTACTTTTTTCTATACTTTAACTCTTATAGCTTACTCTCTAGTATATATAATAACGTTTAAGTTAGCTTCTACTATTTTTTTCTAGCTCTAATTCTTTAAGTTATAGGCGTAAATATTAGAGCTAGAGTTATAAATCTACCTATTAATAAGGTGTAGAGCTATTAGAACTACCTTCTAGATTTCTAAAACCTTAGCTATTATACTAAAGAAGTAGAATATAGAGTTAGTAGAAGAGATACTACTTATTAGCTTATTATTATTAAAGCTTAGTAGAGTAGTACTTACTTTTAACGTAGATTTATTTTACTATTTAGAGAACTAATTAGTAGCTTATTTAAGCTTCTTAGTCTACTTCTTTTTCTTCTTTTTCTTATTAAACTTAGCCTAAATTTCTGCGTTAGGCTTCTAGCCTACTAGGTAAATCTTTAGGTTAATATAAAAGTACTAGCTAAACTAGTAATAATACTTATAGAAGTACTCTAGTATTTCTTCTTAAAACTTACTACGTTTTTAGCTCTAGTTCTATTATTATAGTACTATACCTAGTATTATATATATCTCTAGGCTTACTATAATAGGTTTAGTAGCTCTTTATAGCTATCTAAACTCTACTACTAGATCTAGTACTATAGAAGCTTATACCTTTTATTAGGTAAATAGCTACGTAATTCTAAGCGTAGAGTACACCTTATTAATTAGTTAAAAAGCTTTAAGTAGCTCTCTCTAGGCTTATATACTTTATATATCTAGTATATTAAGTTTAGCTATATAGTTAGTAATCTAAATCTATTTATTAAGCTAGTTATCTAGTTTATTACCTTTCTAGATTTTCTAGATTCTTTTATATTATTCTAGTAGTATATTTTATTATAATACGTTAGTTATTATAACCTATTTCTTTAAGCTTACTAATCTTTTATAGGCTATATTCTTATCTATAATATATAGTATAAGGTAGATATTAATTATTATAGTAATATATTCTAATATATTTTTTAGAGCTTTCTTCTTAAGTAAGTACTTTTTACTCTTCTTATATATATTCTTTTAATTCTAATACTCTAACCTCTTATTAGTGTTAAGGTTCTTTATCTTTATAGCTTCTTATTTAATTATTAATAGTATTAGACGTTTAGATTTCTCTAGAGAAGTTAGTAGTACTAATTTCTTTATATCTAGATTATAGTATTTCTAGACTCTATACTAGATAGCTTTCTTCTTAATAAGAAACTTCTAGTATAGCTAATTCTATAGTATACTAAGAATCTTAATAGTTTTTATAACGTTAGTAACTATAATAGTATTCTTTATTATAGAAATTATAGTATATAGAGTAGATTTAATTATATATAGTATATTTCTAGAGTAACTCTAGAATCTATTAGTAATAATAAGATGTATAAGTTAGTAACTCTATTATCTAATTATGTTAAATAAACTTAGTAGGTTTAATTTATAGTAGTAGGCAAATCTAGACTTATAACTATTAGATAAATTATAGAGTATTAAGACATAAGTTAATTAATTAAGAATACGAGGAATATAGCTATATATTTACATAACCAGGTTACGTAAAGTAGTAACTATATCTGGCAACAGTAAAGCCTAGGGGATTCTCGAGGTTATATTCAAGTGAGGGAAAGTTTTCGATAGCGAGTAATGATTAGCCTAGAACGGAAAGCATAACGCGCGAAAATGACGGTATGGCTTTTATCAGAAGACTTCATTTGGTAGTAACTCCTTAGGGAAAAGCAAGGGCATGATGGTGGCACTCCCTTTCCAGCAGTAAGCAACCACCGGGCGTCGAACTACACGACTTGGCCGGTGCCGCTATCTTTCGTTGGATCATATGGCAACTTCGACTTCCGAGGCCTGCTGTTTCGATTCCTCCGAGACCCTTTCGCTAATATAGTGAGCATAAGTAGATAGGATCGGACGACCTACGCACCTAGGTCTTTTAACCGGGCATTAGCGTTCGCGATGAAGTTTTCATCAAGAAGAAACCCATCCGTCTCCAGAGCCGTTCTTAATGCCTCTCTATACTTATTACGGTTGTTCGTGGTAATCTCCCCAAAAGGCTTTCCCTAGATTTCCGGTATACCTCTATAGACTTCTTTTGATATCCGCTGAAGACCGTTAGTTAAAGCAATAGGTCCCTAGAATACATACGAGGTAGCGATCTTTGTCAATGTCTTTCGGCATGATAGACGGCTGTTGTGGAGACAGCGGAGAGAAGTGGATGAAATGGATGAAGTGGATGAGGTGGCGTGGAGCGGGGTCGAGATGCAGTGCGAGAATCTGGGCAACCAGCTGCCCGCATCCTGCAGGCCGCAACCGGCCAACCACAGTATCCTGATTGTTGCTGCTCGGCCCTAAGCCGTACTTCCCCGTTGTCATCTACATTGCACACCTCCCATTGCACTTGTTCCCCTCGGTGCACCTGCCACCCTCAATGCACGTGGTGACCCGCAATGCACTCGGAGCTTCGATGCAATTCACGCGCAAGTAGTCTCTGTGCGAGCTCAATACCAATCCGTCGCTTTTCCCAAGGGCATAGATCATAGATCCAAACTCCTTACTGCTCCTGCTCCATGGACATGCGATCGAGTCTCTTACTGAGATGATTCAGCGCGTGATTATGGGCCGTCAAGGGGCTCATGGCTACCTAAGCTTGCCTCGCGATCCCCGATCCTCCGTGCTCTACGATACATCGTTACTACGGCCCTACGAGAGAATTATATGGTTAGTGGACTGCCACGGAGTGTCGCACGAAGCAGCGCATCTCTTCCCTCGGTTTCTTTCCTTGGACGGTGTTGTTCGCGGAGATGAAGGCGGTCTGGCTACCTGCCTAGGTAGGTAGGTGTGCAGCACCCATCACGTGCCTGAACGCACGTGATTTTGCTACATCCATGGATATAGTTCCAAGGTTATTTCGCTCTTAGACGATGTCTTCTCACCCGATTAATTCACTTTTGCCCAAATTGCCCATCCGTTTTCAACAACACGGACATTGATTGTGGTATGTTACTCGACGTTTACTAGGTCCTCGAGCGGACTGGCTGCGAGCGCTACTTTCCACAACGCCAGACTTGAGCTACAACACCGTGTCTTGCTCGGTCAATAGTAATCCCAGATACTAAGAAACAACATCCACCACCATCTCCTCGAACCCTTTGAACTTTATACCAAACGCGCTCTCTGTTCCCCGCGCATCCCACTCAACCACTTCGCTGGGCTGGTTCCCAGGCTTCAGTACTCCCTTTTCAAATGCGTCCCGGAAATTCTTGCGGGCGATGTCTATGGCATCATTGTATTGCATGGGCACTGAAACGCCATAGTTCCGATCGCCCTCGACCTTCGGATCCAACGCTCGAACATGAACTTTCGCGACATCATCTAAATGTGCCGCCCTTGTGACCCTCAGTGCGGAGAACATGCTCTGTGCGCTCGTCGCCATTTCGTTCCTGCCGAACGTATAGCCAGGGAAGGTATTGATGATGTCGAACTTTGGCTTATGGGTTTCCATAGATCCCGGCTCTTGTTGAGCAAGTGGATCTTGGATGCTTGGTAAGCATCGTAGACATCCTTGAATGGCCCTGATGGCATCGCGAGTCGACAGTCTGGGCCGTAAGGCCCTGGTCCGCGAGGCGGAAGCGGCATTGTGGCAACGATAGAGGATGTGAGGATAACGCGTTTCAGGGTCGAAGACTTGAGCACAGCCTCAAGAAGATTGTCATTTCCACTCACGGCGGGCTGGTAGACGTCCTTCTCTGGGTCCAACATGGGTAAAGGCAGTGGCGAAGCCACATGCATGATGAAGGTGATTCCTTCCAGAGCGTCTTGCCAGGCATCCAGAGCAGAGAAGTCTCGAACTTCAACAGACTGGAGACGCCCGTCGAGGCTATACGGCCGTAGAAGCGGATGTTGGGCTAATACTTCGAACTTTTCAGAAGATCGTACTGCGACCCTCGCTGCGTATCCTTCCTTGAGGACTTCAACAAGTATTCGGAATCCGATGAAGCCAGTCGCGCCAGTGATCAGCACCATTGAGTCGCTCATGGCGAGCTTACGGGAACAGTCAACGTATATGCGAAAAGAAAGAGGTATAAGACGGTTCGAGGCGAAGAGTCGGCGAGGGAAAGCAACAGGTTTAATTTCAGGGAGAAAAGGAGCTCTGTATTGAGAAGTAGGGGCGCCAGAGGGCCCTATATATATACACATGTTGAAGAGGGGGGGGGGGGGTTGGGGGTTACACCCCAGGTACATGAAATAGGGGTAAAATAGTGGGCTTTTTCACCGCTAACATTTAAGTAGGTACTACAGGAAGGATCGGCAAGTCAGCCGCCCGCGCTACGGCCCCAATAGCGCAATACAACTGGACTCCCGTCAGCCCCGCTGCAATCTTTTTGAACGCAGAGGGTTTCTTCTTTAGCCAGGAATAATTTCAATGTTTACACTGAGCGACCAATTCCTATAAGAAGCAGGCAGTCCGGATTCAAGAACCTAAGTACGCCACGATGTATATGTATTCTCCGGAGGCGCTCCCACAGCCGAGCTTACATCCACCGTCGTGTCGATGCAGATATTATCCCACGCCGGTTTGGATTTGTTCCCACAATGAATGCTGGTATTTAGATCGGCGAGCACGGTACCGTCCTCTTCCACTCCAATATCTAGAACGCGCGAGACGGACTCGGAATCTTTTCCCATCCCGAACTTGCGCCACGATTTGTCTAATCGTGGTGTAGCAGTCTCGGAGGCTGCACAGCGCGGTGGATACTGAGAGCGCTCACTTCGAGTCCATCGATCCCGAATAAATCGGGTAACCTGACCGTAAAGCTGTAGCGTCCGCAGCGCCGGCGTATAAGTTGACCTCGCCGCCTGCACCCTGGCCTCGGCTATTAACAGTGGCCCTGTAGTACTTCCCTTCCTTATTCACGCCACCAACAGTGATCATACTAAAAATGCTGTCTGCTCCGGATGCTTGGGGTACAAGCTCATCTAGCATATGTAATGTGCCCTCGTTGCCTGCCGCAACAACGATGGTAATGTCCATGGCTTTGCATCTCGCGAGTGCACGCTCCGTAATTGCGATTTTGCTAGTATGCCCTTGGTCCTTGATTCAGCTTAGACGTTTGGTGAGTGTCGGTTCCCAATGAGCGTATTAGTTAGTGCTTTACTCACCATAGAACATATTGACAATTAACCTTGTGTTGGGATCATAGTTATTCTGCCTTTGACGAGCGACATCATCGAACACAAATTGGAACGCCGCCTGTAAAGCTGAGCCTATAACACCTCGGGGCAAAATTTGGGATTGGACGGGTTGTTGGGGGTTTGGCCGCATTTCTGAACTTGACGACGAGGTTGGCCAGGGAAGCTACGCCATAGTGTATCCCGCTGCGATACTCGCGAACTCAATCAATCAATCATTGATGTTTGTCATCTCCTCGGGCGCTTTCAACGCGTCTGGAACCGGGACATGATCGGATCGAGCGTGAAACGATTGGAGACGGCGAAGTTGCGGACCTGTCGCGTCGACGTATCAAACTCCTCGTGAGATTTGCGATATTCAGAATCGAGGACATAGATGGCCTGGCCTTGCCCGAGGGAAGGCTCAAACCCATAACTCGGCAGCTTCATTGGATCGTTTTTCTGGTTCCTCGCTGCAATCAAGCCAAGGTGATATGCGCTTTCGTCTCTCTGGTTGAGCGACTTAGGCAGCGCCCGTTTCCTCAATGTCCGGGTTTACATCATAGTTGGGTGAGAAATCATAAGCGCGGCGCCGTCGTCTTCTGTGATGGGTTCGACAAATGCGATCATCGGATTTTTACGAATATCAGCGGCATCTGCATCCGAGAGATCCAAAACTTGGTAAGATACCTAGGGAACATTCGGAAAGGAGATGATGTCGCCTTGCTTGCCATCAAGGGGTGGCTGCTGAGCAAATGCCTTGAATGCATCTACAGTCGTTCCATCCACGGTGCTGATAAGATACGGCCTGCCGGTGTCTCTCTTGACGCGTCCAATGATAGTCGTCGATCCAGTCGGAACTGGAAGCTTGCCTGGTTCTGGAACGTCGCCGCGCGAATCTGTAGGGCAGCAGACCGTGCTGACTTCACTGAGCTCATCGTTGTCGGGATTGGTGGCTTTGATGCATTGCTGGTCCATCTCTCTGGCGGCGACAAAGACGTGTGTAAGGAAGACTGCGAGAGTGCCGCGTGAGACGTGAACCATGTCGAATGGCTTGGCAAGGTGGCGAAGTTTTGTAGCGAATCGTAGGGATCGCCCATGTACCAAATTCGAACATCGACAATGGTCTTTGCTACCTAGGTATGAAAGGACACACAGGAGAATTAGAGGAGAAAATGTAGACTATTAGAATTAACTTGATAGAGTGGTCTAAATGCTTGGGATAGTGCGCTACGCTCGTCTTCTGATGAAGTATCTCTCGGGGTCGGTTTGTGAGCCATAAATAAAAACCTTCAACGTGTCTAAAGCAGTCTGTGATGAAGGCGCCTATGGCGGAAGACTAGCATCCGGCTCCTTTGTGGCCAAACGCATCCTTCGGGTCTAATTGCAGTCGAAAAGGTGTGGGGGCGGGCGGCGTAGAAGACACTCTCGGCGCGAATTTATCGGGAATTATGGTCTTACTGGAGGATTTGTTTCATCATCAACGAAATGGTGCGTCTTCCTTCAGGCATTTTATTCATGCCACCGAAAGCGTGCGTCGTCGCTACTGTGATGAGAAAGTGCTACAGTTCCCCCAGTCGTTCATGGCGGACGAATCTCGTTTCATGGTCGACGAAACAAGTTCTCGGGCCATCTAGACTAGGCATTATCCTCTCTGGCGTCACCCCAGGTTGCTTCGTCGACATTAGACAGCTGTTGATAGCAGATCGTGTTTGAACCTCCCATGTGTCCTCAGCCCCAAAAGATGGATTTCGTGAACAGGAACACGGATCAAAAGGAAGTGGCAGAGTTGATGTGCCAGACATAATCCTCTAGACCAGAAATTGCGAAGGTGAGCACCGTTAGGGCACAGGTATCAAACATCGGACAGCAATCTTTTCGCACTCCAGTGCCTCATGTATATAACGGCCTCCTCTGAACATGAATGAACCGTACCTGAGTGCATTCTCCAAGAGTTGTCCTCAATTCATACAGTATACAATGTTTCGACTCGTACTTTTGAGCTGTCTCATTTCTGGTATCTATTCTTTGGTTATAAATCCACGTGCCGATCAGCTAGAGTGGACAGCACTTGGAGACTCGTATGCTTCCGGTGTTGGGTCCACAGACTACGTTGACGGCCGTCGCTGTCTTCGCTACAATGAAGCCTATCCGGTGCAGCTGAACAACGACTCTGAGCTCAGCGCCGGAGACCACATCTTCAACAATGTTCCCTGTTCAGGAGCTCTCGCTGCAGAGATTGCAGAGTGGCAGCTCCTCGATGAGAAGAAGGACACCGGTCCAAGTTGGCAATACGGTACGCACACTGTGCATGATCCAGCGCCTCGCTAATCTCAATTTTGCCAGGACCTCGACCAGCATTTGGAAATCCAAGCTTCGCGACCTTGACGGCTGGCGGCGACGATATTGATTTCCCCGGCATCATCTTCAACTGTATAATCGATGTCAGCCTATGGTTCGGAGGACCAACACGAAGGACTTGCGAGGATCAGAGAGCACATTCCTGGGAACTGCTCAAGAGCGATGACCTCGTAAACAACCTCGACTCGCTCATCCAGAAGATTGTTGAGAAAGGCAGAAATGGCCCCATCGGCGACAAGTTCAAGCTGTACGCTACCGGGTATCCGAAGTTCTTCTCAACCGAGACAACAGAGTGCGATAACGTGACGTTTGCAAGAAGCGCCAATCCAGTCGATGATGGGAAGGACCACCCTAGAATGACACTCCAGGTCCGGCAAGATTTCAACAACATGAGCGATGCGTTGAACGAGGCTATCCGATCAGCAGTTGGCCGAAATTCGGACAAAGGGGTCACTTTCATTGACATTGAAAAAGACAACTTTGGCGACGATGCGCTCAAAGGCCACCGATACTGCGAACCAGGCGTTAAGGAGCCCGACACTGAGAACCCTGAGCTCTACATGTGGCATTATCCCTATAAAGAAGCCTCGGATGACGCCCAAACCGACCCGACGGTAGCTCTACTATCAGGTGCATACAGCCAGGTTGTGGGCCAGCTCAATGCGCAAGACATCCTTATCAAATGGCCAAACACCGTTGACATGCAGAACGCGATGTACGATGCTATCGATGAGACGAAGCTCCAGGAAAAGGCAACCTCCACGACAGCCGGCTGGGATTCAATCGGTTTCCGCGCGCGGGTATTCCACCCGCAAGTCGTCTATCACCGTTTTATTCGAGATAGGATCTTCGCCCAGTATAGACAGGATAACCCACCCGCGCCATGCACTAGTGAAGAGTGCTGTCCCTCGGGGTGCACTTGTGGTTCATCTGGTGTGCCACTTTGTTCTTAGGAAGAGATAGGTTTTGTACTTCAGAGGTTTTTGGTTTTTAGGCGGAGATATCATCGGTTAATGTACTACAGCGTCGTAAATGGAATAGAGCTTTTGCATTCTTCTCCTCTTCGTTCCCGAGGTCCGTGTAGCCGGCAAATTAATTCCGATGCCTCACAAATCAACGTCGCAACGCGAACTCTAAAGATGCCTTTATCAATTGCTCAAGAGGAGTTTCGTCGAAAGCAACATACCGCCTTAATCTACTTTTAGAGTACGTGGCAAGTATTAAGGCATCGCGACAACGCGACGCCTTCGCAACGCGACACCATGACAACGCGACATCTTAGCATCCCAGCACTCGTCATAAGAGCTGAAGTATATTGGCCGGCGAAGATTGAGTTGCGCGATAAAGCCCGTTTTGGCCGTGTTTGACGGGACAATTCGGCCGATACAATAAGGCTTGAGGCTGTCCAGCGAGTCGAAGCATAAAGGTGCGACGTCAGCCACTCCGGCGTTAAGGGCCGAGTGAAGACACAAATAGAACAAGATCATCGATCGATATCATACAAGAGGTTTCACATTTGCTTTTTCGGTAACTCCGATAGGATGCTAAGGCTGAAACAGATTGTTTCAGAACGATTGGCTTGGAGTTGGTGGCCAAGCTGCACAATGCCCGTGCCCGTGGCGGCCAAAAGGGGCTGTGCCTCTCTCGTCTTGTTGTTGTAAGAAGCCACGGTACCCCCATAGAACGTCTACCACGCTCAAAACGACAAGCATACCTACTTGTACTTCCAGTATGCACCTTTTGGTATTCTGGCTTTTTCTTTGTCACGATTCATTGGCGGCTCAGGCTCTCAAAAGCCGTGCTGTTCCACCAGGCGATACTCCTTTCAGGTTCTGCAACGATACAAAAAACGCCGACATATTCACCATTGGGCTCATTCAGTTGGATCCGAAGCCTGTACTGATGTACGTCCAACACGCGATCTTGCATTTCACTGTGAGCTACGGGCTAACATTGCTTGGGACAGAGATCAAGTATTCCATGTGAATGCTTATGGTAACGTAGACCACTAGAACGCCCGAGAGTAGAGCTGATCTATTCTAAGGAAACTTTTCAAAGGATGTTCCGGGAAATTCAACGCTAAAGGCCCACGGAGTCTACGAGAACTATCATCCAGGCCACAACTTCACTACTAATTTCTGCGACTACGTAGTCTCAATCGACCAAATAGGGAATGATCAGTGTCCACCCAAGAAAGGCCCGGCCTTGGTTGTATTTGAGGGCTTTACTTCGCCGTGGGATTTGCCATTCGTGAGTTATTGTTGATTAGTAAAACTGAAGGAAGACTAATAGATGTCGAAAGGGTCACTACTCGTGGAGATTCGAAGCTTTTACACCTCAGCAAGAGAGACTCTTTTGTGTCGAAGCGGACGTGTGTCTAGATCGGGATGATGACGATCCACGGAATGGCGATACATGTCCACCAGTGAAGGAAAGGGGCAGCTATATTAGGGAATTGCAGCATTTTATAGCGAACAGATAGCTGTCCTACTACTATATCTCAAGATGAATTGCTGGGAACCTAGCAGAACTCCAGTCCGGTAAATTAGCTAAACTTAAGAGCATGCATTATCTTACTTGCTATCAGCCTCATGTCTCCGTTGCGAAATAGCTGCCAAGGCACCAGATACCTGAACCCGTCTCTCTCGATGGACATTAGCTCGAACAATTTCCGCATCTCCTCTCTGCCAATATTCCCGTTTCCATGCGTACCCAAAATATTCTCGCGGTCGAAATACCCCGTCATGCTGCAATGGCGCCACCAGTTGAGGATCTCGGCGGCCATTGCTGAGGCGATAGTGGTAGAGAAGGTTGACCCTGATCTTCTCGTGCTGGTAGCCTCAGCCTCATTCTAGATCTCAACTTCTTCTCCTAGAGTACTGAAGTTGTCGCTTGGATCGAACAAGCCGGGATTAAATGGCGAGCTATTACCGAATCCGTCCGTGGAATAGACGCAAAAGACATTTGGATCTCGAGCCGGATAAGCGACGACTTGGTTGGCCCCTTCGTTTCCAGCAGCAGCAAACATGATGATGTCGTGACCTGAGTCCCCCATTGCAGCACGACGGATAACCTGCTGGAGCTCCGAGACTCGATCGTGGAAACCGAAACCCATGCATATTATGTCTGCTCGTATTTCGAAAATAGCATATTTCACAGCCTAGCCCAACTCGATTAGACCAAGGATCTCACTAGTGGGTTCGCGGCCCAGGGCTACTAACCTCAACAATGGGAGTGAATGACTTGATGTTACCTGTAGATGTGACCTTGAGGGCATGGACCTCGGCGGACGGGGCCAACTTCAGAAGCAAGCTCGCTGCCTGGGTTCCGATACCGATCTTGTCAAGTGCTTCGGGATCGTCCTCTACAAAGCTCCGAAAATTGACGTGAGGTCGCAAATCATGGCGTTCCAGTCCAAGTACGGACCAATTTACCCCAGAGCTAAGAATTGCCAGCTTCACATGCCTCCTCTCCCATTCGCCAGCCGCAAAGTCCATCGTGCTAGTGAACATCTGCAGTGGCAACAAGAATTCGTTTTCGTAATAGTCAAACCACTTGGCGGAGCTCTTGCTGCTGCGAAAGCCGTTAGCAAGCGAACCATTTCTACTCACTGCTCAAGGTGTGGAAAGCTTACGCAACAGAACGTGGCTCCTCTTTTTTACCTTGGCGGGCGCTGGCTCTTGGCTGGCGGAAATTCGGCGTTCTTCTGACCGGCCTTTCCTGAGTACTTACCGTTTTCTCGCTAATGTCATCGGCCTTTTGGACTGTAGACTGTCTCCTGCTTCGTTCCACGGGCTCCGCTTGTTTCTCCGAGTCTATGATAGTGACATCTGCCTCCGAGCCTTCTACGCTTTCTGCTAATTCTGCCTCTGCCACGTCCGAATCGGAAGACTCGAGCCCTGATCTATTGTCGTCGTCAGGGTCGCTATTGATGCTGTGGCCCAACGTTACGGCAATCCAGCTTGTGATGAAGCTTCTTCTCTGGCCAGCGTATATCATGTCCGCTTGCATTCCATACTCTTTCAGCTCTTTCTGTAGTTCGGACCATATCAACTCGTCGTGCGCCTCGAGACCCTTTAGGAATTTTCGATCGATCCTGCTAAGAGGCGATTTGGTGATTTCCATAATGACGTTCTTAACAACCTCGTCAATGTCTCGACTTATCATACTAGCAACTTCAGCTTCAGCGCAGTCAAAGCGCATCACTGCTTCACAGTGATCGCAGTCTGGAATCTCTCTGACGATGGCTTCCGAGGCTTGGGCCGTAACTAGAATCTTCAGGTGGGTTACACGGTGCACCTAGAACTGCAGTCAGATTACCTCAGTTCACTCGAGGATGGAGGCTCCTTCATATTGGCAATTATTGGGCAGATGAGGAAGGTAACCATAAGCACGTCCGTACCTGATGATTCTTGGTGCTGAAGAATCCCGCGATCGCCTTCAGGAGGTTTCGCAAGCCGACTTCTGTTTCACTAGACTCCCGGCACTTCTCCAGCCCGTCCAGGACGCAGTACAGTGTACCTGACTCCGGCTCCATCACTGTTTGCTCCAATATCTTCCACATGAGATTAAACTTGTGCAAGTTTCGGTTATGCTTAAAGGCTTTCATCTAGATATTCAGCCCGAAGTCAGCCAACGGGGCTATGGCACCTTAAGCCACGTTCCAAGATTATGTGAGCCAACTCACTGCTTTCTTGCGCGCCAAATCCGTCTTGTCATTAAACCAACGATGGAGCACAGCAGCGACGGCGCACACCGGAGACTGGGCCTCTTCTCTACGCTTGTGGAAGAAGAAGTAGCTCATTGAGCCATCTTCGGGCGGATGGTCTACGAAGTGGCGGGCCATCACTGATTTCCCCTGGTCGCTCGGGCCGGTGACTATAAGCAGGCTGGAAGACCTGGAATCCTTCCAGTTCCTGAATTTGGTATGTTCGAAGAACCACTTCCCCGTATTTATAGCCATCTCCGGGATGTACTCTTTGTCGCCCTCATAATCGTTGTTATCGAGGTCGAAGGCCGTGATAACCTTGTCGACCAGATCTGTGCATGCACCTTTAGTTTGGATTTGCCGGGGGGCTCGGGAGACTGTTACGAACCTCCCATCCCGGAGTAGATGCTCGCGCTCATTCGCTCCACAGTAAAAGAGGCATTGTCGATGTCAACGGCACCCACGATGCTCTTGGAATTCTCGAGGGAAATATTGCCAAACTGCTGTGATAGGCCATTTAGATTCCGCCGTGAAGCCATGACGACCAGGCCAATGAATAAGTCAATATTTGCGCACCAATATCGCGTATCTCGAAGGGTTTTCAAGATCTTCCCGGTCCGTGTCTCCAGGTGTACTTGGCGCCGACGCAGCTACCCCTCCATGCCACGTAAATTCGCCCCGTTTGAACTTCGGCTAACTGATAACGTTATCAAGACCGTTGTTGAATAAGAACAATTGCACATAACTAGTTTGCGGGCTAATTTGGACTTGAGCATATCACACCCAAGATGTTATCTCGTGCACCTTGTCAGATTTCGATTCCTTAGGCGCGAAAAGTAGCGTTACATTAACGTGAGAGCTGTATAGAGTTCCTGAGAGACCTAGGCGGATCAGTCTAAGCACCCCCGGTTCCGGATCTGGGACCGGCGTCCGAGTTTGGCGTCGGACTACTCCAGAAGTCCCTGAAAGCCTGACCGTCCATGCGGCCCACGAATGCCTGGCTCGATTTCGTTGCCTTCGTGTCCCCCCACTTCTGCTGCACATTCCCGGTCCCAAGGTGGGAACCAACCACGCCAGCTCCAACCTTGGAGAAGTCCTCGGCGGTGACGTTGCCGAACCTCTGGGTGGTGTTGTTGGCCTGCGCCTCCGTGACCGCCAGCGCCTCCGCACACGACTTCTGGAGGACCGGCAAGATGGCGAGCGTGAGATCGCGCTCGCGGGTCGTGATGGCGATGATATCGTTGGTCTCGTCGGCCTCGGCCTCCTCGTCGATTTCCAGGTCCTTGATGTCTTTCTCAATATTAACGAGAAGTTGGGACTGCGACCTGAGCGCGTCTTCATGCATTTCTAGCGTCGCCTTGAGGTCTTCGGTCGAGGAGTAAGTAGACGAGGATATTGTTCTTAGAAATAATAACTCGTCAGCTAAGACTGTAGTTCTTGAGGGGTTGGCGTAAATGGCCTGGCAGCACTCACAAATTGGCTGAAGTGACCGCGAACTGCACCGTGTCTTTGGCGGCGTTGAGCCGGGTCCGGAAACCGTCGAGCTTGGATTTGCGGAACGTCACGGTCAACCTGTCGCGTTTGCTGAACGACCCATCCTTGGAGTGGGCCGTGTACTTCTCGATCGTCTGCGTGAAGTTTTTCGTGATATCGTCGCAGGCGCCAACGGTCTCTTTGATTCTGACACGCTCGAAGATCGGCGTCAAGGCGGCCGGCTTCTCCCGCAGATTCGTCTCGAGGGCCTTCAGAACTCCCTGCACGGCACCAATGTCTGATTTCATCTCCGCGATGGCCTTCGGCGCGTTTTGGAGGCCATCAATAAGATCGTAAAGGCCCTTGGTGCTGGTGTAGGCTGCGCCAACAACGGCCAGAATCCCAGAAGTAATGCTAAGAGGGTCAGCCATTTTAATTGTAGGTGAGAGAGTTGCAGCTCGCAGGATTGAAAGGAGTAACGCCTTCGCGGGAAGGCATAGCCGCCCTCTGGGAACAGTTTCAGCAGACCGCCAAGAGCATAGCCAAGAGGAATACCAAGAAGAAGAGCGGCGAGAATTTTCCGTGCAACTGCGTGTGGAGAGGAAGAAAGTTGTACCGGATTCTTTTAAAACCAAGCCTGCCGCCAGCAACGCGTTTCCAGGAGGCCGTACATGGCTTTCTTAACGAACATAGTTATGGGCTAGCGCACTGTATGTAAGCTAGTCCAGGGTCAACTCCGTGCAGATCATTCCAATGAAAAATGCCCGTTCTCCAACGTTCCTCCGTCTCCTTCGATCGCGATCATCTTTGCATGGTAGGCGCGCAGGAACTCCTCAAACGTGCCATGTCCAAGCAGGTGAGCGCCCGGCATTTCCGTTCCGCCCATGACCCATCTCTTTTTCACGTCCGTACAGTCAGCCTTAAGAAAGGCGGCTGGTCCACGGGTAGGCTGAAACCACGTGCGGGTCTACGTGAGCGCCTGCAGGAGAGTCCCCCGTTCAAGAGCTACGAGGAGGCGGGTATAATTTCGCTGCCCGCGAGTCGTTCCGCGCTGGGAGAGAGTCGAAAAGACTAGTAAGCTCGTCCACGTGGTTTACGGCATTGAATACACTTAACGTACTTCACGGGCGAAAGCCCCACACGGGCGAACCCCCCACGATTTCTTGGCAAGAAAAATCAACGAAAATCAACCCGTTTTTCTTAAATAACTAGGCGAAACCTTAATATTTTTCTATAAAAATTTATATATATATTCTTTATAGTATATTACACCTTATACTAAAGTTACACTAAGATATATTACGTAATTAAAAAGCTATACGTATTTAAGTAACTTTTAAGAAAAAATCTAGTTTTCTTCTAGTAAGTACTATTATATCTCTATAATAGTCTATAAAACTTACAGTATATAGTATTTATAACCTAATAAAGGTTTCTAGAAAACTTCTATAGAGCTAGCTCTTCTAGGTATAGCGTAATAAGAGATAGAATTTTAAAAAACTCTTTTTAGACTTTTCTTCTCTAACTATAGATATATATTAATAATCTAGCTATATAAAGTTATATATTATAAGATTATATATACTATAAGCCTTCTATATACTTAGAAGTAATAATTTTAAAATAGTTTTAGTATCTTTCTATCTTTCTATACTATACTACTAAAACGACTTTACTTTTAAATAACTACTTAAAGCTAGTATATTTTTAGTTAATAAGCTCTATATAGTTAAAGTCTACTATAATTTATATAATAATAAGATTTATAGCTAGATTAACTATATATATATATATAGTTAGAAGAGAAAACTCTAGAGAAGATATTTTTCTAACTTCTATCTCTTATTACGCTATACCTAGAAGAGCTAGCTCTATAGAAGTTTTCTAGAAACCTTTATTAGGTTATAAATACTATATACTGTAAGTTTTATAGACTATTATAGAGATATAATAGTACTTACTAGAAGAAAACTAGATTTTTTCTTAAAAGTTACTTAAATACGTATAGCTTTTTAATTACGTAATATATCTTAGTGTAACTTTAGTATAAGGTGTAATATACTATAAAGAATATATATATAAATTTTTATAGAAAAATATTAAGGTTTCGCCTAGTTATTTAAGAAAAACGGGCTGATTTTCGTTGATTTTTCTTGCCAAGAAATCGTGGGGGGTTCGCCCGTGTGGGGCTTTCGCCCGTGAAGTACGTTATCCGTGAACCTGAATAACTTACTACAAGTGCGCATTGAGCCCTCCAAACCCGGGCTCACGCACCTGCATGAGACATGAGCTGTCCTGGCACTTGCTCATGCTCACGATTAGCTGAATAGGTATCTAGGTATTAGGACTATTAGCATGTGTCCATCTACGTGTTTGGGGCATCAGCGAGGACTTACCTAGACGATAGACCGCTCACGTCCAGGCGCATCGTCGGGCCTAGGAAACTTGATTGTAATCTCCCCTACAAAGCTGTGCCGGGAGGAAGCTTCAGAGAGTCCGCGCAGGTAGTGCCGGCATTAGGGGAGCCGTTTGTGGATCATGTTCATAAGCGGTAATAAAGGGGTGTGCATGGCTAGAAGTACGAGGCTGGGATATGGTCAGGGGGATGCAGAGATGAAGAGGTTGGCTCAGGTTAAGGACGACTGTGTTTGAATATCTCCACGAGCTTGCCGTCGCGAGCTTCCGCGACGCCGTCGATTGGCCCGTTCAAATTAGGGCAAATAGTTTACGTAGACTAGTATCTAAAGGAGCAGATGTACGGCTCGACTAGTAAACATTAGGCTTAACATAGACGCATAGAACATACAACAGCGCGCCCAAATTCCTCACCAGCATGCCAAAGAACAACGACGCGGAGTTGAATTCTCCCGCCACGCCCTTCGTAACAAGCTCGATGCCTATTACGAGCTGTATTGTTTAGTCAGAGTTGTTGCCACGGAGCCGTTAGCGAGGTAAGCGTTGTAACAACGGCGGACTCATTTATCAGGAGCAAATAAATGGCGACGCTGTAGACAAGAGCCCGAACGCCATCTCTGACTCGTCTAATGCACGATCGTGGGCGAGAAGAAGAAGAAGAAGAAGAAGACGAAGAAGGTGGTGGTGGCTGTCCGGAAAACGTTTGAAGGGTCCAGAATTCTGTGTAAGAGCCAGCTGAGGAGGTCGAGGATGCTAGTGGCGAGCGAGATAATGTTGGCGCAGCTGACGATAATGCTGCGGGGGAGAGTTGCGATTCAAAAAGGAGGACGAAAGGGTAGCCGTAGTGTTGGTGGCGGGGTTGCAGCGGCTACAACTGCATAGTAAAGGACTTCGTCAGTTATACAGTGTAGCCTAGGCTGTACTTGATTTTGTCGATGGGGAAGCAGCAGATACTAGCACAATAAACCCCCCTCCACGGCGATGCGGCCCATAAAGAAGTGAGTATGCGGCAGGGCGATAGAGTCCTTAGAATAGCACGGCGCTGGTCTCGGCGATGCCCATACTGTCTTCCGCTGCGCCTCCAGCGGAGCGAGAACCCGAAAACGACTGCATTTATAGCAAGCCGATCTATGCAAAATATATTAGTAATTACTCTAGAACTCTCAGGGAGACAATTAGAACCGCAACCGCTGGGAGAGATATGGCCGTAGCTGGGGACAAGTTAGTTCCTGATAAGATGAAGAGAGATGTAAAGTAGCACGCAGAACAGTAGATCTAAACAAGGACCTTATGCAGACCGCCTTAAAGCCTTCTACAGGTGAAGGTGTATCTAATAGAGCGTTCATCCTAATAAACGAACCATGCACGATAGTTGCCGAGTACATATTCGTGATCGAGCGCAAAGGACTAACACGAAAAGGAACATCTCCAAAGCGATATAAGGAGGGATTCGCTAACCCTAGAGAGATGCTCACCGATTAGAACAGAAGCACAATGCCTGCCATAGAGATGTTTAAACCTGATCTGATAGATAATAAGGCCATGCAAGTAGCGGCCCCAGCCAGCTCGGTCAATCGGCGCGGCGTTTCTGTAGATAGGACGCACGCAAGGCTGGAACCCGTACAAAAATGACGGGAGGTATAAGTTCCAGAGCGCGATTGTGTCGGAGAGGTCTGATCTGTTCGTGCCCGGATCTTCGTGTCCACGAAGGTAGAGAGGGCAATTCTTCTGTACATGTTAACGTGCGCAGAGAGGTACTTCCCTAAGTCGTCCCTCCTATAGTCCTTGTCCGAGGCCTGGACCAGTCGCTTCGATGAAGTCTGCCTACTTAATTAGATAATTATTTCAAAGAGGTTATCTTGCAGTTCTTACGTCTGTATCTCTCCAAACCAGTCTAGTTCTCCCCAATACTCTTAACCCGATCAACATTTCGACGGTCTTTCGTTTGCGGTCTTAGTTGAAGGGCTGACCATCCACACCACGTCAATGGGAAAGGCACGCAGGACAAGTAAACCAACGTGGGCTGTGCCGCGATCAAGTCTGCAAATAAAAGAAAGCTCAGAGAGCTTCCGCGCAAGGACTGAGCAGAGAAAGAACGCCGAAAGACTATCTATAGCACATGCAATGAAGGGAAAAAAGATTAGTCGCGCGCTAGGTACAAAGTAGCCCCTTTATCTGCGGGGGGAAACAACGGGCTCGTGAGTCGTAGAGGTTCATCGTGTCTTTACCGCCGTAGAGCACCATGTTAGTGTCTCTACCCTATCCTTCTTTTACAAGCAGGTATTGCGTCCGACAATGCCACATAGCCGGCAGATAGCAGAACACGAAGCCAGGTTAATTTGAACACTGTAACACCAGAACAGTAATCGCGTCTGCGGCGCATACGTCGCCGTCAAGAGAGGAAAATCCCGCACAAGGGAGTGCGCCGCACTTCTTTGGTTACTCCAGGGTTGACATGGGGGACACGCGCTTGCATGGGGTCTGGTTCTCAAATGGAAAAACGGCTGTGTAAGCGGCATGCTCCTACCGCCTTACCTAGGCAAGGTTCTTCCCACAGGAATGCGTGTCTTGTGCGAGGTTAAGAAGTCGTTCAGCCGAATTTCGGTGAGATGCAGAAATACAGCGGGCTTTTGGTGGGTTTCGGCGGCTTTCTCGGCGGGCTCCTGTCTGCTCGGACAGCCATGATCTCTCCTCACAAAGGCGGATAGGCGTCATCCTGAAAGGAACCGGCCCTTCGTTTGAGGCAGCGTGGGATGGTTCTGGAGAAGCAGACCAAGCTGGAACCGCCGCCGAATGCCCGTCATCGATGCCAACCTCCGCCCTCCCTCCAAGCGAGCCGCCTTCATACCATCCACATAATCCTCGCTATGTGTCATCAGCTAGCCGCAGCATAGCAGAAGAGCGGCGAATAGTCCATACACGGGGACTTCCGCTCTAGATTTGCCGCTGCCGATTCTCCACTTTGCCGCGCCTCGAGCTGCATGCAATCTATCTGCCAGCCTGACAGCATAAGCCCTTCTCGAAGGCCCATCGATTATTTACACCAAATCGCCCCCCTGGCTTGAACACTCAACCAAGGCAATACCAGAAGATGCTAGAGAAGGTCACACCGGAAGCTCCCATTTGGGCATACTATTACATTGCCGCTGGTAATATTCAAGTCCGACTGTAGCCATCAGCCCTCGAGCGGAGAGGGATGTACATGGCGTCCATGCTAATAGCAAGGCTGAAATAGTGAAAGCCCTCCGATGGCACAATACGGGCGCCGGGATCGTCCCTATCGCCGGGATTTACAAGACGTGCGGAATACACCGGGCTGTAGGCGGAATTACATTTTGAGGCGTAGGATATGGAAGAGCTGGCATAGGGGCATGTAGAAGGAACGGCGCATACCTGAGCTAGGCGTAACCTGGAGACAAATCCAGCCTCCGGGCTCAGGACTATTGCAGGAAGTTGTAGAGTTTCTGGGTTGGGGTGGTGGATGTTAATAAGGCGTTCCCGTCAGCGAAGGGCCGGTGTGTGGTGGGGGTGCCGACTGGCAGGAGACAGATGGGCAGGATTATTTGTACGGGTAAGTTGGGGTGCTTCGATGAGCGTTTTCACGCTTCTCATAGCCGCTTCAAGCTGCACAGACCGACTGTTCCTATTTTTGTGTTGGAATCCGAACTCCACCGGCAACTTCTGCGGAAAGATGAGTACGAGAGTTGCACAGGCGTGGCTCGTTTTCGTGGGGCGTGGCCTCTTTTCGTGGTGCGTGGCTATTCGTGGGGCGTGGCCAGCAACTTCGTGGGGCGTGGCCACTCGCCGGGGTAGCCTAAAATGGCGATAGTACGGCGCACGGGCGTTAACTCACAGCCCCGCAACCGCAACCCTCTAACACTCGCAACACACTCGCAACGTTGGTCTAACACCGCTCTTACCGCGTCTCCGCTAGCACACTTTTGCACGCCGACCAAAAGGAGCTAAAGGTTGTAGGGCCTACTGCGAAGGCTAACCAACGGCAATGATGGCGCACCTTGGACACGGATCAATCTCAAGCCGAGCCCAACACGGCAAATAAAAAGAGGAAGCGCACGCCACAACCTCCTCGGGACGGTACGCGCTGGTGTACCAAGTGCAAGGGCCATCGGCCGGAGTCAGAATTCAACTCGGAAAATAGGCAGTGCAGGAATCATAAGAGGGTGGATCGCGAGAAGAGACGGGCCGAAGACAATGAGAGGAAGGAGCGCCTTCTGGAACGCGCCGGCCCTGGAGACCAATATTGCGCTAAGTGCGGTAACATACGACCCGAGACGGATTTTGCCCTCAAACTGGATGGATCGAGGAATTCCCAATGTTCGAGACACTACGTCAAGAAACGCACCACTGCACCCCATATCGAGCCTACATCAAATTATCCCCCTCCTGCACTACAGCCTTTGGCCGATGCAACCTTATCTCCAAAAGATCCTCCGGTAAATCCGCACCAGGGGCGCTCAGCTGCCTCCATCTTGGAAGAACGCAAGCTCTATATTGAGGAAGACATTAGGAAAGCAATCGAGAAAAGCATCGACGATGTTGGCGCGCTTGTAAAGGCTCACGGCGACCTTCCAGAGCGTTCGAGGCTGAGGCAGGAGCTTCCGCGATTCTTGGACGACTTTCTGAAGGCCGCGAAGGTTCCAAACATTGTCTTCTACTCAGAGTGGGAGGCAAGGGAGGCCGTTAAGGTCCCCCCGGACACCATTATCTTAGCTACCATGGAGGAGGCCGAGAAGATCATGCGCCAGGCACCACTGAGGATCCCAATCCTGGTCTGCAAGGAAGTCCGGAATCCACCGCCCTATCTTGAGACCATCGACCAATACCTCCGCAACACGCAAATCTTCCCGTTCATCACTGTCCAGGACTATGAAGGCGAGGTAAAGGCATCAACCACAAAGAAGAAGAACAACGATGGCATCATAGGACCTCGTGCGATGCTAAAGGCTAAGGTTGGGGCCTATCTCAACGATCCTTCCCTTCCCCCAGTGAATTGCCTCGACTAGAAAGGCTCAGTCCCAAACCCTGAGCCGGAATGTTTTCCCTGGATTGAGTCTCTTCAACTCCTCACCAAGTTCTCTGGCAATAGCTGGGGCGGCAAGGGCGCCCTCTCTGCTGACCTCACGGACGCACGTTCCTTTGGCCTGCTTGCTAAGCTTAGCTCTTGGTCAATGCCGCACGTTGATCGCCACGGTGTGATTACTACTGCCGAGGGGGTAGACGGCGATAAGCTCTGGCTCTCCTGTCTGGGACTGACCCTTTTTGACCTACGGGCATGGCTGCGATCTGAAGCGAACTGTCCACACCAATACCCAGGGCCAATATCCGAGAGTCTCAGAGTGGAGATCCAAAGCCCGGCCATTCGGACCCAATCTGGATCTAAGAACCATAAGAAGCCGCGACCCTCGGCGAAGTCCAAGCCGTTGCCCTCGACAGGATCCGAGGAAGAATCTAGGGAATTCAAGCGTTGGAAGGCGGACTATGCTAATGCACCTGCAATAAAGCCCATTGCCATAAAGATCAGGGCAGGGGACTTACTAATTCAACCCTCCGGGAATCTTCATGCCCCGTACACTTGTACCAATGTCCTGATGCGGGGCACGATGCACTGGGACTCCCTAGACTTAGAGCAGATCCTGGAACTCAGTCTCCTTGAAACGGCGTACCCGCAGCTCACCAACGAGGACGAGGCCAAGGACTTCTACCACCTCATGCAGAGATGCATCGCGCGGATGAAGGAGTGCAAGTTGTATGCGGACGACGTATACAAGTGGCCCCCGCCACATCGCTGGGAGTCGATCGACAAGTTATTCAAGGTGGGGCTTTCTTGTTTCTCTGCCGCGCTCGTTGTGTCGGAGTATATACTGACTAGTCCTGACAGGAGTGGCAGGGTGCGAATAAAGAGACGGAACCGTTGAAGACCATTATGAAGGGTTGCGTTTGCACTTTGGGGGCTTGTGATAGCTGTGCCTGCTTTCACAACCATGTCAGGTGCGGCACTCAATGCCATAAGGCGGACAAGGGCGGAGAGAATAGCAATTGCAGGAACTGCTGAGGTCGAAGGCGGACTCGCGGATTTCCGGTTGGCACGGCAAGGGGAACAACCTTTGTGTCAAAGCTACGCCACGTTACCCTCCAGAACTCTTCATTGCCGTCATTCACTCAACATTTTCGGCCGTTTTGACCTATCCCCGGACAAACGCCTGGCCCGTCTCTCTCGCCTCCTGCAACTTCGCTGACAAATACAACGACCCAGCTGATCGTCTTTATAACTCGCACATATATCGGCTTGGCCCTCCAAAAGAAACTATTCGGGATCCTCGCGACTCTACAAACTTACGACATATTATAACTCTTTAGTTTCGCGTTTCGTCTAACGTTATTCAGCTATGCTAGAGCACGCTCCGAACCGATGCTCGGGAATTTTCGACATTGTACGAACGGTGTTGAGGACAAGATCAACCTTGAAAGCACCGAGGACAAGGCTAACCTCGAAGGCACCGACGCGATCGAAGTCGACGTCGCACGACGGATGCATCAAAATATCGAATATGTAAGCTTAACTAGGTAGTGTCGGCAATGGGCGCATTTACTCGGTCCTGGATACTCCCCAGTGAAGCCCTCAAAAACGAGGAGCGCAAACCGTAACAGCTGCTGCCGACGATCTGTTGCGGAGCAGCATGAAGTGAAGGCCTCAAAAGCACCTCGGCACGGACGCTCTTGGCGTAGGGACCCTTTAGTACATTCTCGGAACTCCTCCATCTAGACCCATAACTTCGACTAACACAATCGGTATCAACCCCAAGCCCATGTGCCAAATCTCTCTGCTCAATCATGGTTGTGCATGATCAAGCGATGGCACATCCACGAGATGATTCCTTAGAGCAAGCTTGCGAAGAAAACAACAAATCCCTGGATAGCAATCCCTTCGGAGAAGTATTTAACCCCTTCACGGAAAGCGCCCATGTCCAAGAAGTTCCTGATACCGATCCTGCAACTGTCGATCAGCTCTGGAAAATTGTGTCAAAGGTTCTTGAATCGGAACGGCAGCTTACGATGGCTGGCACAACTCCAATCTCAAAGCGTGCTCCCGACGACTTCGAAGACTTCAAAACGAGCCATGGCATCACCGTGGTTGATAGCGGCGTCTTCTCCCAGCTCCAAATTTCTTCACCTAACACCAACATCATCCCCTCCATCAACATCAACGACGTATGTATGATTGGCAGCAACAAAGATCTCGTGAGAAACTTACTCAACAAGAACTACGACATCGATGCGTCAGACTTCCGGGCCTTCATAACTGAATATCTCTTCAAGCAACCCATTGACGAAACTGGCACCTACGGCATGCCTCAACGCGTTATCGACTACGAAGCTGATGCGACAAAACGCCCAACAAGGGTCACCAAGGACGACAAGTTGAAATGGTATGCACCACCTGTTCTTCATTCGCACACCAACCACCCGGAGTCTGGAAAATCGAACGCTCGTGGAGCCTCGAGAACGCAATCTAGGACAGTTCCGTCGCGCCCGGCGAAGACTTCTACTGGAACGCACGCTAAAGGCAACGGCTCCATACAACCCAGCACCCTTCTCACCCCCAACGCTATCCCTCCTCAACTATCCAGAGAGTGGCATGTCCAGCCATACATCTTCTACGCATTCACTAAAAACATCTTCAGCGGCAACTCCACTGGGAATTTCGACTTCCTCCCCCATCTCCGCAAGACCCTGTATCCCTACCTAACCGTGCAAGTCGTCCCTGACACTCCCAATTCCCTGCACGAGGACTTCCACAACTACAAGCAACCCCTCCTCTTCGGCATCGAAGCGCTCTACAACCGCTGGTTCCTTGCAGATTACCACAAGAAGCTGCAGAAGGAGGTTCAACAGCCACCACAACATCAACAACACAACGGCAATAGTGCCGGTGCCGCGGCACCTTCGAATCGCGACTCAGGGCCTGCTGCTACATCAGAAGACAGCAGCAAATTCCTTCTCCACTTCGTCATCCTGGTGTCGCCGAAGGAGTGGCGCCTTGTCGAGATCAAGCCTCAAGATGCGTCATCTCCGAGCGCGGCGGCCGGGGCGTGGAGTGGCGTCGTGGTTGAGCGCTGCCAGGCTGGCGCGACCACGGACAGCGTTGGCTTGGACTGCCTCAACAAAGCAGTGAGGAAGATTCATGAATGGGGCTCCTCGACGTACTTAGAGGCGTGCAAGAGGGATATCAAGGCCATTTACAAGATGAAGGGTGGCGATCCAGAGTTCGTTTCTCCGGAGAAGGCCAGGGCGGATGACATGCCAGAGGAACTCACACAGGACCAGAGGGTGTGGAATCTAGAGAAGGAGTTGAGTGAACAGGAGAATGGGCGTAAAGTGGATGACAATGGCGAGGAGGACGACAATGGCAAAGAGGACGACAATGGCAAAGAGGACGACAATGGCAAAGAGGACGACAATGGCAAAGAGGACGACAATGGCAAAGAGGACGAC